ATCAAGTTCGAGCACAACATGTGGAACTACCTGTATTTCATTGTGCTGGTCCGTGTGAAAAACAAGACGGACTACACAGGGCCCGAGAGCTACGTGGCACAGATGATTAAGGTGTGGGAGGAGCAGTTGCATCTGCCTGCCCTGACCCTGCGGGCTCGACAAGACAGCTGTAGACACTTGTTGGAGGGGAGGGCTGGCCGAGGAGCAGAGCAGCAGCTGGAGCCAGCCCTTGGCTACTCGGGAGCCCACCAGCTGCTGGTGCTGCTAGGGTCTTTGTATGCTTTTGCGCTGGCTCTGTTGTCAGGAACCCATGTGCCCTGAAGGACGTGAGAGGCGTCCCTGGGCCTATGGGTGCATGATGCTGAGGAGTGTGGAACAGGGCAGACCCTGCCCTTGGCTGCTGCCTGGTGGACCATGCTGAGGGAGCCTTCTCAGTTTGGTGAGAGTTAGGGCAGCTTCCCAGAACCTGGACTGGCCCAGGCCAAGAGGGAGCCTGGAACATCTGAGGAGGAATCAAATTTATTCTGTCCAATTTTTATAGTAATGAAGGGAATGAAGGCAGTGAATAATGGGCAAAAGGTCTTGTAACCTTTCAGGTAAAGGAAGTCCATTAATTCCATCAAACGTGCATTTTCAAGTTACTGCACAAATTGCAGGCTAAAAAGAAAGACCGATTTAGTGGGAAAATAAAAGGAGTTATATTTGTTTTTTTCTGTAATTTGAACTGATCTTTGAGTACAGGTTTATCAGATGGTCTGAGAATTCAGCTTTTGGCAAGGAAGTAGAAAACTGTGTGGTGTCCCCTTGCACTCTTCTGTCCTGGGAAATGGGGCTTTGCCTCTCAGACACAAGTCAGATGCCAGCCATCCTTAGCAGAGCCTCCCACTCCCTCAGTGTGCCATCTGTCTGACTCGAATCTTCCTGAGGTGTAGGGTGTGGGGCATGTGTGTCAGGGTGGGGCGGGAGGAAGGAAGGAAGGAAGGCGATTCAGGGTCTGGGTGCAGAGGCCTTCCTCCACCTCTCGCAGGGTGTTAGGAAAGTAAACAGATGGTGCTGATACCGATGAAAGACTTCAGGCCATCTAACGGAAGCCAGCCTGTCAGTGATGTGGCCTTAAAGCCTGTAGAGGGTTCACTGCCAGCTCACTCTGGCCTGGGGAGGACCCTGGCCAATTCAGATTTTCCCATAACACATCCCTGGGGAGTAATTTTGCCAAGGGTGTGGCAGCAGGCTCCCTCTACATTACTGCCTTTCTAAACAAGGCTCTCCTTGGCTGGGCCCAAGCTGGCTCACCCACTGGTGATCTTTTTCAGAACAAGAACCTGGACTGGTTCCCCCGGATGAGGGCCATGTCTCTAGTGAGCAACGAGGGGGAGGGGGAACAGAACGAGATCCGGATTCTGCAGGACAAGCTCAACTCCACCATGAAGCTGGTGTCCCACCTCACTGCCCAGCTCAACGAGCTCAAGGAGCAGGTGTGCACCCAGCCCTATCTTGGCCCCACCCTGGGGACCCACACTGGGCAGCCTCTCAGAGGCTGCAGCCGAGGCTGCCATGGGGCAGGGGGTGCAGGTGCTGGTGCCTTGATGCCTCTCCCTTTCCTGATGGCCCCATTCTTGGGTCTAGGGTAGAAGACAGGTCCCACTCCCCTCCATGGAAAGCTAGACTGGGGTCTGAAAGACATGGTCAAGTGGACCCTTCATCCCCCTTGCTCATCCCCTTACTCGTAGCAGCTGCTAGGGAGTCCCTTTGAGGGGTTCACTGGCCGTGGGGGAGGTCCAGGCATCCTTCCGCTTAAGAGCCCCTCTTGCTGAGAGCAACCTCTTTTCCATCTGGCAGTGACTAAATCATGTTATGCAGTCCCTCTTAGGAAGGCTGGTTTCCCAGCTGCACCAAATTAGGGGTTTGTTGACACACTAATTGAGGGTGAGGGTTTGGAGCTGACACCGTCATTGCACTGAGGGTCCTTGGCCTGCTGCCAGTGCTGGGTCCACAGGGTGGGTGCCAGCTCCTCTGCTGAGCCTGTGGAGAGGGTGCTGGGCAGCCTGACCTGACCTGCTGGCATGTTTAATCCTAGATGACTGAGCAGCGGAAACGCAGGCAACGCCTGGGCTTTGTGGATGTCCAGAACTGCATGAGCCGCTGAGGAAGGCCACCGAAGGCCCTAACAGGGATCCTTGTCACTGAAGAGCTGTAATTTCCCTTGGGTGGCGCAGCCAGCCTGCCAGCCTCAAGGCCAGGTGCCCACCTAGCCTCCAGCTCCCATTCTGCCAAACACCCCCAAGCCACTCCAGGCTGACCATCATGGAAGGGGAGCCACAGAACTGACAGTCCTGCCTAGAGCCCTTAAAAATGACTCAGAAACTCACTGGGACTTGGCTTCCCTTAATGCCTTAGAGAAGTTCACTGAAAGGCCTGTTGCTTTGTCGCTTAGAGCAATTGACATGCTCTGTACTCCTCATGGGTGACCGAGAGGGGTTACCTCTTTATTTCAAGCACTACATTTTGGTTGCTGCCCACCTATGGGGAAGGTGCAGTCATGTTGTTGCTAGTGATTTTACGGCTTTGTTATTTAACTTATTCATGAGTGCTGTGCTCAGCCCTGGCCCTGGCATGGCTACCCCCATGCCTCCAGTGTGTGGACCTCACTGTCCAAGCCCAGGCCACCCCCCTCTGGAAGCCCCAGGAGGGCTGTTGACCCAAGGATGGAGAGCCTTGTTCCTGGGACCTGCTTCTTCCGGGCCTCCTGGGGAAGTCGCATGCCCAGGTGACAGGGCTGGGGTGTGTTGAGTGACTGGTTTTTGACTGCTTGTTTTTTCTCACAAATCCTTTGTCCTGAAAACTAATAATGTTAATTGCCGTAAATAAATTAATAGAAATCTAGTCCAATAGAAGGGATGCTGCTTCCTGTACCCTCAGGGGCTGGAGGGGTTAACATGGCACACTGGCTGAGGACAGAATCTGAGCCCTGCCTGCTGGCCTGCCTTGCTTCAGGCTCTTAGGAGATGCTCTCAGTGAAATCCTGCTTGCACTGACTCCTGGACAGAACTGTACCACAGTGAAACTGGTTTCTGTCATAACCCTAAATATTTTGTGTGTATTTCAAAACATACTGAGTCCAGGTACAAACAAGGTTAAAAACCCACTTCAGTGTCTTCCCAACAAGGGTTCTGTTGGCTTGTACCCTACCTTCTCAGCCCTGTTCCTGACAGAAGACAGCTCAAGAGGGGAACTGGATGCCCACTAATATGAGCTAAGGCTTCATGGAGTAATAAGTTTGTGTCCCTGGCCAAGGCCTGTCTATAGCTCTACTCTTATCTCTTATGCCAAGTTGGAACATAGGTTTTCTACAGGTCAGGGGCAGAGGACCAAGCTCTGTCCTCCTGACTTGGTGGGAATGAGGGCCAAGCAGGCTTTTCTCATCTCTTCCACACCACCTCCTGCTGCTCTGTTTGCAACAGGATGCCTTCTTCAATATTTACCGCTATTTTTGGCTATCTCCCAGGAGCTCCTACAACAAAAGGGAGCCTGAGAATCTTGCCAGGAGCCAGCCAGACCCCCCGCTGGCAGGTGGGGCTCCTGTGGCTGTGCAGGAAGCACCTTGCCCAGAGGCCCTGTCACCTTCCCTTCTCAGGCCCAGACGGAGACCCCCGTTTCCCCACCCCCCACCTCAGGGAGACTTCCCCACCCTGACTGGTAGGCAGGCGGGGGCTCAGTGGCATACCTTCTCAGGCTGATGCTTTCTTTAGAGCAACAAGGGTTTCCTTTTTGTGAAGGTTACAGGAGATTCCTGGACCAGGAGGACAGAGGGAAACCAGGGCAGTTTTATTTATGATAATAATGTGTAAGACTCCACGCTTAGGTATGTGGGCGAGATAAGGACTGAGCCCAGGCCTTATGCTTCTCCTCGGGATTCCTGGGGGTAAACTTCTCCTGCAGTTTCTTCCACATGCCTTTATTAATTTCCTTAAACTCTTCCAAGGTGTCTGCAAAAGGGAAGACAAAAAGACACAAAGTGAAGTCTAAACTTGGATGATATAAATTGGCCCCACAGGGCGTCCATCTGAGCATGCCTTGCCTTTCACTCGGTACACTCCTGAAAAGGGGAAGTGTAGCCCAGGGCCTAAGCAAATTAGACAAGGTGATGGAGAAATAAGAGCTAGTGTGGACTGAGCACTTGTATGCCAGGCACTGCGCTAAAACACTGCACTTGGCAGTGGTCCCTGCTCACATCTCAGCATCCTTCAACATCTAAGCAAGACCCTCACTGCCTTCCTCCACAAGAGTGNCGTGTCTTAGTTTTTCCATCTGTAAAATGGGAATAATTAACATCTCCCTTCTAGAATAATTGTGAGGATGAAATAAGCTAATACACAAAAGTCACATAGCATGTGTCCAGGCATGTAGCAAGCACACTTTAAGAGTTGGCCATCCTTCCTCTGTATGTGGTACAGGCATACTTTGGAGATATTCCAAGTTCCAGGCCAGTGCAATAAAGCAAGTATCACAATAAAGTGAGTCAAATGGATTTGTTGGTTTCCCAGTGCATGTAAATGTAACATTTACACTCTACTGTAGTCTATTAAGTGTGCAATAGCATCATGTCTAAAAAAAAATGCATACCTTAGTTAAAAAATACTTTATTGCTAAAAAATGCTAACCATCATTGTGCTTTCAGTGAGTTATCATCACTGATCACAGATCACCATAACAAATGTAATAATAATGAAAAAGTTTGAAATACTGTGAGAATTACCAAAATGTGACACAGATACAAAAAGTGAACAAACGCTGTTGGAAAAATGGTGCTGATAGACTTGTTTGACGCAGGGTTGCCACAGACAGTAAATTTGTTTAAAAAAAAAAAAAAAAAAAAGCAAAAACAACCTATCCCTCAAGATAAACTGTGGTTTATGTATATCATGGAAAACTATTCAGCAGTATTTTAAAAAAAAAAAAAAAAAAAGCAGTGTCTGTGAGGTGCAGTAAGATGAGGTGTGCCTGTGTTCGTGTGCCCATACCACCCCTCATGCTTCCCTTGACCACCCTTTTTCCTTGGCCTTAGAACCCTAGATCCCTCCCAGAAGCCTCCTTAACCAGGCCCAGTGCCCTGGTTAAGGCTGCCTAGGTGCAGACCCTATGGGGGGAGCCTGTGGGAAACCATGGGAGCATGAGCCCCTGGGTCCTTGGGTCCAGCAGCATCCCCAGCCCCTCATGGCCTCTCCTTGCCCTGCAGCTCTTTGACCTCATCTACCGCGAGGAGACACTATTCAATGTCATCAAGAGTGTGACCCGCAATGGCCGCTCCATCCTCTTGACTGCCCTGCTGGCCCTCATTCTGGTCTACCTCTTCTCCATCGTTGGCTTCCTCTTTCTCAAGGATGACTTCATCCTCGAGGTCGACCGGCTGCCCAGCAACCACTCCAGAGGTCCGGGGGCTCCCCTCCTGGGTGGTCTAGGGGATGAGAGGGTGTGTACAAGTGTGACATCAGGACTAGGACCTGGGAGTGCTTATCCCACCAGCCTCCCTGCCTCTGTTTCTCCTCTGGGTCCTGGGGAGGTCTAGTTCACACTAGTCTGCCTCCCTCTTCCTGGGACAGACTGCAGGTGGGAGAGCTTTAGGTTTCTGGCTTCCTAAGAAGCCACTTGTTTGCAAACCTTGTCATTCAAGTTAAAGTCAGTATTTGCAGAGGTTGCCCATGTGCCAGTGCTTGGGGTGCAGGCCATGCTCCCTGCCCTTAGTACACAGCCCAGTTGAGCCAGGGGCATGAAGACCCTTCACTTGTAGTCAGGCAGAATGGGGATCTGGCAGGATCAGGAAAGGCTTCCTGGAGGATGTGAAGCCGGGGACAGAACCAGGGAAACAATAGGGCCAGGCAGTTGGACTTTCTGGTGACCTTGTCTGTGTTGCCTCCAGCCAATCCTCTGGGGATGCCACATGGAGCTGCCACATTCATGGGCACGTGCAGCGGGGACAACATAGATTGTGTCTCAGGGGTCTCAGTGCCTGAAGTCCTGGAAGGTGAGGGTGGTGCATCCTGGGAGTGTGTGGGGTGTAGGTGCGGAGGGAGGTGGCCTGGATTGGGTATGAGCACACACTCCGCTTACAGAGGACAAGGAGCCAGACAGCACAGAGCGGGCTTGTGACACTCTGCTGATGTGCATTGTCACCGTCATGAACCATGGGCTACGCAATGGTGGTGGTGTGGGAGATATTCTCCGCAAGCCGTCCAAAGATGTGAGCATTTCCTGCCCCACTCCAAATCCATGTGGCCCGAGCCCTGGCCGAGTCAGCAACTGAGGGTCCTGCCTTCAGGGGCACAGCCAGGCAGAGCACCTTGGGCCTCCCTCAGTTTTCTGTGTTGCAAGCCTACCCCCACCCCCACCCCCTTCAGCTGCCTTCCTACCTGGTCACTGCACAGCTACAGTGTTGCTGAGCCCTTCCCACCTCAGGCTGCTCAGGCATCCCTGCCAGCTCACTGTAGATGCTCTAGTGAAAGACCCTGGCAACCAAGTCTTTCCCAGGCCTGGGAAGGCATGAGTCAGACAGCAGGCGGGTCCCCAGGCCACATGGGTCGCATCTGCAAGGCAGAGCCCAGCCTGCTGCGGGAGACGGCAGGGGCGCAGATGAGTCGGCTCTATAGGAGGCCTCAGGTTTTGGCTCAGCCAGCCTAGCCTTCTTAGTGGTCACTCCGTCCCCGGGCACGTGGGGGTGAGAAGCCGCCTCCCAGGCCAGACACAGGGTTTCTAGACCATGTGAGACCAGGCATCCTGAGGATGCAGCAGAGGAGTAAAAGGCTGGAGGTTACCCTATCCAAAGGTTAGCATCAGACACAAGCCTAGACCCATACTTAGCTTTCCATGCGAAACTCCTACAGGCTTCACCCTATTGGCACCCTTCTGAGCCCACTGTTCCCATAGCCACACTCAGGGCCTGTGATTTCAATTATCAGGGATGAGGCTGGGTCCACCCCGCCATCTTCAGGGCCCTGGGAGCAGGAGGTCCTCATTCCCTCCTCGGGTCTGGGTCTCCCATCACAGCCCTGACCCCACCTGAGTCCTGCCTGCTGGGTGAGCTGGGAGATGGCTGGGCCTAGCCTCCATGCCTCGCCCCTGCAGGAGTCCCTCTTCCCAGCCCGGGTGGTCTATGACCTCCTGTTCTTCTTCATCGTCATCATCATTGTGTTGAACCTCATCTTTGGGGTGATCATCGACACCTTTGCTGACCTGCGCAGTGAGAAGCAGAAGAAAGAGGAGGTTCTCAAGACTACGTGCTTCATCTGTGGTGAGGCCCCTGCCTCTGAGGCCATAGCAAGGGGTGCCACTGGGGCCAGTGGCAGTGGCAGTCTGGCCCTTCCTGGGTCCCTGTGGCCACTGGGGAAGCCTGCCCTTAGGGCTGAGGCTTATGGCTATTCGCTAATCACAGTACTGGGGAGAAAGGATCCAGCTTGAACTTGGAGTAAAAGGGAGCAGGGAAGGGCTTCAGAAACCATTCCTTCAAAACCTTTCAGTTTACAGAGGCAACAGGAGCCCTCTGTCCTCAGACCAGGGCTTTTCCCATCCTGCTATAAAGTGTTAGTCCCTCACCAGCCACTGCAGGCTAAGGAGCAGGTGTCACCTGTAGGACAAATCCCTTATTCAGCTTTTCCTGATCCCTGGGTTCTTGGAATTTGGGTGTTTGCTCCCATAGTCCTCAGCTGTCCCTGCAGAGCTGCAGCTGTGGCAGGGCGGGATCTCCCCACTAAGTGGCTGCTGCTTTAAATAGAAGTGACCTAAATAGCCCAGAGTGGCTGTCGCATGCATCCATCAGACTTTTGAGCCTGAGAACAAATACCCCCACTGTATCAGGAGGCAGCGTCTGCTCCCCCAGTTGGCCAGTTGGGGGGCTCCTGGAGGCTTATGGTTTCATCCTTACCCTCTGCATCCTCAGGTCTGGAGAGGGACAAGTTTGATAACAAGACGGTGTCATTTGAGGAACACATCAAGTTCGAGCACAACATGTGGAACTACCTGTATTTCATTGTGCTGGTCCGTGTGAAAAACAAGACGGACTACACAGGGCCCGAGAGCTACGTGGCACAGATGATTAAGGTGTGGGAGGAGCAGTTGCATCTGCCTGCCCTGACCCTGCGGGCTCGACAAGACAGCTGTAGACACTTGTTGGAGGGGAGGGCTGGCCGAGGAGCAGAGCAGCAGCTGGAGCCAGCCCTTGGCTACTCGGGAGCCCACCAGCTGCTGGTGCTGCTAGGGTCTTTGTATGCTTTTGCGCTGGCTCTGTTGTCAGGAACCCATGTGCCCTGAAGGACGTGAGAGGCGTCCCTGGGCCTATGGGTGCATGATGCTGAGGAGTGTGGAACAGGGCAGACCCTGCCCTTGGCTGCTGCCTGGTGGACCATGCTGAGGGAGCCTTCTCAGTTTGGTGAGAGTTAGGGCAGCTTCCCAGAACCTGGACTGGCCCAGGCCAAGAGGGAGCCTGGAACATCTGAGGAGGAATCAAATTTATTCTGTCCAATTTTTATAGTAATGAAGGGAATGAAGGCAGTGAATAATGGGCAAAAGGTCTTGTAACCTTTCAGGTAAAGGAAGTCCATTAATTCCATCAAACGTGCATTTTCAAGTTACTGCACAAATTGCAGGCTAAAAAGAAAGACCGATTTAGTGGGAAAATAAAAGGAGTTATATTTGTTTTTTTCTGTAATTTGAACTGATCTTTGAGTACAGGTTTATCAGATGGTCTGAGAATTCAGCTTTTGGCAAGGAAGTAGAAAACTGTGTGGTGTCCCCTTGCACTCTTCTGTCCTGGGAAATGGGGCTTTGCCTCTCAGACACAAGTCAGATGCCAGCCATCCTTAGCAGAGCCTCCCACTCCCTCAGTGTGCCATCTGTCTGACTCGAATCTTCCTGAGGTGTAGGGTGTGGGGCATGTGTGTCAGGGTGGGGCGGGAGGAAGGAAGGAAGGAAGGCGATTCAGGGTCTGGGTGCAGAGGCCTTCCTCCACCTCTCGCAGGGTGTTAGGAAAGTAAACAGATGGTGCTGATACCGATGAAAGACTTCAGGCCATCTAACGGAAGCCAGCCTGTCAGTGATGTGGCCTTAAAGCCTGTAGAGGGTTCACTGCCAGCTCACTCTGGCCTGGGGAGGACCCTGGCCAATTCAGATTTTCCCATAACACATCCCTGGGGAGTAATTTTGCCAAGGGTGTGGCAGCAGGCTCCCTCTACATTACTGCCTTTCTAAACAAGGCTCTCCTTGGCTGGGCCCAAGCTGGCTCACCCACTGGTGATCTTTTTCAGAACAAGAACCTGGACTGGTTCCCCCGGATGAGGGCCATGTCTCTAGTGAGCAACGAGGGGGAGGGGGAACAGAACGAGATCCGGATTCTGCAGGACAAGCTCAACTCCACCATGAAGCTGGTGTCCCACCTCACTGCCCAGCTCAACGAGCTCAAGGAGCAGGTGTGCACCCAGCCCTATCTTGGCCCCACCCTGGGGACCCACACTGGGCAGCCTCTCAGAGGCTGCAGCCGAGGCTGCCATGGGGCAGGGGGTGCAGGTGCTGGTGCCTTGATGCCTCTCCCTTTCCTGATGGCCCCATTCTTGGGTCTAGGGTAGAAGACAGGTCCCACTCCCCTCCATGGAAAGCTAGACTGGGGTCTGAAAGACATGGTCAAGTGGACCCTTCATCCCCCTTGCTCATCCCCTTACTCGTAGCAGCTGCTAGGGAGTCCCTTTGAGGGGTTCACTGGCCGTGGGGGAGGTCCAGGCATCCTTCCGCTTAAGAGCCCCTCTTGCTGAGAGCAACCTCTTTTCCATCTGGCAGTGACTAAATCATGTTATGCAGTCCCTCTTAGGAAGGCTGGTTTCCCAGCTGCACCAAATTAGGGGTTTGTTGACACACTAATTGAGGGTGAGGGTTTGGAGCTGACACCGTCATTGCACTGAGGGTCCTTGGCCTGCTGCCAGTGCTGGGTCCACAGGGTGGGTGCCAGCTCCTCTGCTGAGCCTGTGGAGAGGGTGCTGGGCAGCCTGACCTGACCTGCTGGCATGTTTAATCCTAGATGACTGAGCAGCGGAAACGCAGGCAACGCCTGGGCTTTGTGGATGTCCAGAACTGCATGAGCCGCTGAGGAAGGCCACCGAAGGCCCTAACAGGGATCCTTGTCACTGAAGAGCTGTAATTTCCCTTGGGTGGCGCAGCCAGCCTGCCAGCCTCAAGGCCAGGTGCCCACCTAGCCTCCAGCTCCCATTCTGCCAAACACCCCCAAGCCACTCCAGGCTGACCATCATGGAAGGGGAGCCACAGAACTGACAGTCCTGCCTAGAGCCCTTAAAAATGACTCAGAAACTCACTGGGACTTGGCTTCCCTTAATGCCTTAGAGAAGTTCACTGAAAGGCCTGTTGCTTTGTCGCTTAGAGCAATTGACATGCTCTGTACTCCTCATGGGTGACCGAGAGGGGTTACCTCTTTATTTCAAGCACTACATTTTGGTTGCTGCCCACCTATGGGGAAGGTGCAGTCATGTTGTTGCTAGTGATTTTACGGCTTTGTTATTTAACTTATTCATGAGTGCTGTGCTCAGCCCTGGCCCTGGCATGGCTACCCCCATGCCTCCAGTGTGTGGACCTCACTGTCCAAGCCCAGGCCACCCCCCTCTGGAAGCCCCAGGAGGGCTGTTGACCCAAGGATGGAGAGCCTTGTTCCTGGGACCTGCTTCTTCCGGGCCTCCTGGGGAAGTCGCATGCCCAGGTGACAGGGCTGGGGTGTGTTGAGTGACTGGTTTTTGACTGCTTGTTTTTTCTCACAAATCCTTTGTCCTGAAAACTAATAATGTTAATTGCCGTAAATAAATTAATAGAAATCTAGTCCAATAGAAGGGATGCTGCTTCCTGTACCCTCAGGGGCTGGAGGGGTTAACATGGCACACTGGCTGAGGACAGAATCTGAGCCCTGCCTGCTGGCCTGCCTTGCTTCAGGCTCTTAGGAGATGCTCTCAGTGAAATCCTGCTTGCACTGACTCCTGGACAGAACTGTACCACAGTGAAACTGGTTTCTGTCATAACCCTAAATATTTTGTGTGTATTTCAAAACATACTGAGTCCAGGTACAAACAAGGTTAAAAACCCACTTCAGTGTCTTCCCAACAAGGGTTCTGTTGGCTTGTACCCTACCTTCTCAGCCCTGTTCCTGACAGAAGACAGCTCAAGAGGGGAACTGGATGCCCACTAATATGAGCTAAGGCTTCATGGAGTAATAAGTTTGTGTCCCTGGCCAAGGCCTGTCTATAGCTCTACTCTTATCTCTTATGCCAAGTTGGAACATAGGTTTTCTACAGGTCAGGGGCAGAGGACCAAGCTCTGTCCTCCTGACTTGGTGGGAATGAGGGCCAAGCAGGCTTTTCTCATCTCTTCCACACCACCTCCTGCTGCTCTGTTTGCAACAGGATGCCTTCTTCAATATTTACCGCTATTTTTGGCTATCTCCCAGGAGCTCCTACAACAAAAGGGAGCCTGAGAATCTTGCCAGGAGCCAGCCAGACCCCCCGCTGGCAGGTGGGGCTCCTGTGGCTGTGCAGGAAGCACCTTGCCCAGAGGCCCTGTCACCTTCCCTTCTCAGGCCCAGACGGAGACCCCCGTTTCCCCACCCCCCACCTCAGGGAGACTTCCCCACCCTGACTGGTAGGCAGGCGGGGGCTCAGTGGCATACCTTCTCAGGCTGATGCTTTCTTTAGAGCAACAAGGGTTTCCTTTTTGTGAAGGTTACAGGAGATTCCTGGACCAGGAGGACAGAGGGAAACCAGGGCAGTTTTATTTATGATAATAATGTGTAAGACTCCACGCTTAGGTATGTGGGCGAGATAAGGACTGAGCCCAGGCCTTATGCTTCTCCTCGGGATTCCTGGGGGTAAACTTCTCCTGCAGTTTCTTCCACATGCCTTTATTAATTTCCTTAAACTCTTCCAAGGTGTCTGCAAAAGGGAAGACAAAAAGACACAAAGTGAAGTCTAAACTTGGATGATATAAATTGGCCCCACAGGGCGTCCATCTGAGCATGCCTTGCCTTTCACTCGGTACACTCCTGAAAAGGGGAAGTGTAGCCCAGGGCCTAAGCAAATTAGACAAGGTGATGGAGAAATAAGAGCTAGTGTGGACTGAGCACTTGTATGCCAGGCACTGCGCTAAAACACTGCACTTGGCAGTGGTCCCTGCTCACATCTCAGCATCCTTCAACATCTAAGCAAGACCCTCACTGCCTTCCTCCACAAGAGTGGGCAAAGGAATGGCACTGTGCTAGCTACACAACCAAAAGGCCCAGATTTTTCTCTCATAACTTGGCCTGCACCACACAGACATTATTGTCCCCATTTTTCAGATGTAAAAACAGGCACAGGGATGTTGTGTAACATATTCAGGTGGCACAGCTAGGAAGTGCTGGACTTGGGATTTTAATGCTGGCAGTGTGGGTCTACCACATGCTATGGACCCCATAGGCACCAGGGTGGGGGATGGACCTGGAACCAAATCTCTGCCCATCATTTCCCCACTGTGTCTCCTCAAATTACTTTAACCCTTGAACCTCAGATTCCTTATCTGTGAGATGGAGATAAAAATACCTGACTCAGAAGTTGTGAAGATTAAAGGAAATAATTGAAGTAACTTGCCCAGCATTTGCACCCCGCTCAGCCCCTCACCAAAGGAACCAAACAAAGCTGGGTTTCTCGGTCTTGGCACTACTGATGTTTTGGGCCACGTAATTCTTCGGGGGCTGCCCTGTGCACTATACAGCGGTCAGCAGCATCTTGGCCTCTGCCCAATAGATGCCAGTAGCAGGTCCCTACCTCCCCAGCTGTGACAACTCCTTCAGACTCTGCCACATGTTCCCTGGTAGAGGGGTGAGGCGTCAAAACTGCCTGCAGTTGAGAATCACTGGTCTAAAGTTTCTCTAGGGCTACAGCCTCTCCACCTGCTATGATAATTTTACCTGTATTTTAAATTTAGATTTTTCACCTAATACTACTTAAATTTCATAACCTGGATTTTCATCTGTTAATAAAACTTTTGGAGAAGGAGAATGAATAGCTTTTCTGAACAAAATGGTAACTTATTTACCAACATTTATTGTTGGTGGATTCTTAACTAAATTAGGACTCACACTGTACCTCAGCCATTAAGCCCAGCATCCCACCCTAGGATGTTTCCAGAAATTCAGGTTCTCCTGTAGGGCACAAAGCAGGATGCTGAGGGATTCCTGTCCACTTACAAGCCACGAGGCCTCTTTTAGAGTCTCCCATGACCCAAAGCCCAGGGTGGACACACTTTGACCCAGATCTTGGCCACATTTCAGACTCACCAGGCCCTCAAATCCTTTCACTATAAACACTACAAGGTGTTTTCTTTCCCTGTCAGAGGAAACATTCAGTAAGTTCACTCCACACAATCACAACAAAAATATGAGGCTTACTGTGAAAATAAATTATCAGCAAATTTCCTGGAACTGAACTCCCAGCCAGAACAAGCTGTGGCCCAGGCCAATGGTAGGAAGTCTTCTATCTCCCCCTCCTTTACTGAGGGCCCCCTTCATGGAGGCCACCCTGAGAGTGAACAAAGAGGGCAAGGGCTGGGCCTCTGGAACTTATTTCCATTCTAATTTCAAGTTCAAACTTCTCTCAAACTTTCCAGGGCCCTCAGAGTGACCCTGCACCAAAGCTGGTGATTACAGGGATCCAGAGACAAAGAGGGAAGGAAAGGGGAAAAAGAAAGGAAGAAAGAAAAGAAAGAAAATCCATATATATATATACTTAAACTGCAATAGTGATCTGCCTGGCCAAAGTATCTTACCCCAGTTTTCCAGAGAATATTATAGTAAAAATAGAATCAGAGTCAACACACAATAGCAGGTGACACCACCAAGTCTTAATCTGTTCAGAAGGTAAGAGTTTTCTGGAAGACCAAATCCCCTCCACTGAATTGCTAAAGGTTGCCACAGGAATAGGGAAGAGACATTTCTAGAGTACCAGCAGGCAAATGTTTCAGGAGAGGTTAGCCTATTTTTGTATATGGTATCCTCGGCAATTAAAATAGTAATTTTCCAGAACCAGCCTCCTTCAACCCTGGCTCCCCCTGACGACACCCGCCATCTTCCCTCTTCAGTGACAATGGAAACAGGGAAGTAAGGAGGGGATGGGCCAGGCTGGGTATTTCCTGTCTTGTTCATTGGGGTCTATTAATGACTTCAAAACATACCTAGTCAAACCCACATCTAACCCACAGGCCATGTCCCCTGGGTCAGATAACTCTTAAGTATGGGATATCCCCATACACATCTATTGAATGGCTTTTTGTTTTAATTAAAACTCTCACTGTTTATAAAGCCCCCTTAGGACCATAAAAATAAAATTATTTTCCTTCCATCCTGATTTCAACTACTTCCATTTGGCAAATACATATTCCCCTGTTCCCTGCTGCCCAGCCTTGAATTTAAAAGCTCTAAAGATGGATTATCTTTTCTTTAAATAATGCTTTTGACCTTCTCCATATTCTATGACCAAAAAGCATAAGCCCTTAGCTTCAGAATCTCCTCTTGGCTATTCCACAAGACTTCCCATCAGGCAAAGCTGCCTTATTGGACAATTCCCCTGGTCACTCAAACTCAAAAAGAATCATTTACAAACCAACCAGAAAGGGCAGCTGTGCTTTCAATACCTGTGGACAAGATCAGCTTGTACTCTTCCACGGACAGGCCACTGAAGCTCGTGTCTCTGGGGCGTGGGTACTGGTCACATGAGGTAGAGAGAAAGAATGGTGGGGGAGGAGAGAGATTAGTTCTGCAGTACAACCCAAGACGCCATGATGCTGCAGAGGAGCTTGCTCTCTAGCTGCGGTTCTCTAGCCGGTTGTGCGTGTCTGGAGGCCAGAGGCCTGTCAAGGAGAAGGCCAGCGCCATCTGGAGGTCAAAGACTTGCTCTTGTGAGAAGGGTATCAGCTGGAGCTGGCGCCTCCAACTGGACTCATTGACATGGATCCTCTGGGAACACGCAGGCTGCGGTTCAGGAGGGCTCGGTGGGACCCATGATTCTGCATTTCTAACCAGCTCCCAGGTGATGCCCACACTGCTGCTCGTGAACTACACTTTGAGTTGCGATGATCTAGAAGAAATTCCTTTTCCGTGTAGCCTAGGCATCTGGCTGTGTACATTTGTGAAGTTACTGAACAGTTTTCAAGCCTGGGAAAAACCACACTAAATGGAATTTGATAGTAAATTCTGGTCAGATAGCTCAAGTCAGAGGTGAGGAAAAGCCCAGCTTTGACAGGGCCTTCCCCATCACCCCACCTTATCACCAGCATGTGGGGAAATACCAGCTGCATCAAAGTGGATGGAAAAATATGTGTAAGATCCAACAGTTATCAGATAGACCCAGAAGCCCATACTGGCATATAAAATAGACGGTTTTTATTCAAAATTATAAGTAGCTTTTATTTAAGTGACTTAAAAGCTTCTACCAGGCACCTTTGTTCGCTTGGTTGAGATTAGCAAAACCACAATTCTTTAGAAAACACTGCATAATCAGATATTCACTCATGCTTATTGGACAGACCCAATTAGAGGGCTGGGGAGAAAAGCCTGGTCCACTCACCTTGTGTTTGTAATAGTTTGAATGGAGTCGAGCTAAACTCTCATACATCTGATCACAGGCCTCAGGCTCTGCAATCTGAAAAACAAAGGACCCCCAAGCGAGTGAGCAGGGAGCACTCCTCCCACAACAAGCCGGAACTGCTGGAAAGACCCCACTTGAAGAGGGCATTCCCATGGAGCGGCCTGTGGCTTGGAGCTAGCTTCTCCACTCAGCGGGAAGCAAACTTGGCCTACAGCTCCCGCTGTTAGAAACCTCTCAGAAATCACCTTTCCGGAGTAATGGCTCCACCTCATCAACTCCCCAGCCTGAAGAAAATGGGATCAATCAACTGGCAAATAAACATTTGTTGAGCATCTATGACTTGTGGACCACCATGCCAGCTGCAGTGGAAGCCACAATAAAAACTTGGTATCGGAAGGGCGTGCCTCATAAAGACAGTGTTAGGGACAGTGTGGGCTACAAGTCAGAGGAGGGGTTCCCATGTGCTCAAGTAGTCAGTGTGCGATGGAAGTGAGACTAAGCCTGGTTTTGAAGGATGAATAGGAGTTGGGGAGCAGAAGGAAGAGTGGAGGGGGTCTTCCTGGTGGAGGGGACGGTATGTGCAAGCAGGTGAGGCAGGAATGCTATCTATGTTTCAGACCAGACTGCTCTGGCTGAGGGCCTGCATATGTGGGTAAAAGAGCCTCAGTGGGAGAAAAAGAAATTTTTTAATTAAACCTTCAATATGAAATGTATTAAATAAAGAATCTTTAATGAAAGGAAAAAAAAAGAATAATCTGAGCTTTCATCTATGGTAAATGGGGAGCTGTTAAAATGTTACAAGGGAAGAAACATGAAGAAAGCAGTATTCTGAGACAGAGAACTGAGGAGGGCCAGGAGGGAACGTCCAGTTCAGTTCTGCTAGAAAGGACAGGCCCAGGACTCCGAGGCCTTGCGAACAGAAAGGGGAAGATAAACACTGCGGTGTCCCCGCTGGAAACTGCAGGCAGGACTGGCAACATGCAGAGGAGAGGTGACTTTTTTGCCTCCCATACCACTTTTTAGTTTTCCCTTCCTTCTGCCTTGCTATTATTTACCTATAGTTCTTTGAATTATTCTGCCAAGAATTCTGAAAGCTTTCTCGAACAAAACTTTCTTTTATGTTTTTTCCCCAGAATTCAAATGATGGATTTTTCCAACTTGAATCCTTTCTTGAAGGAGGCAGAGCATAAATAAATCAGTAGTTAAGCATTTTAATAACGCAGCTCCACTTCTGCCTCAAAGTGCGTGTCAAATGTGGTCCCCACTTGACAGCAAACAAAAAAGGAGGCCATCGCTTGGTTCTGGTTGACCTCTGCCCTGGCTCAGGCCACTTGCCATGAGAACACCCAGGCAGCCACATCAGAAGAGCAAGGATTACGGGCTGAGGAGGCAGCCAGTGTTAGTTGAATAATAATCAAAGGCATTATTTGAGGATATTGGGGCTATGGTCTGAAAAGAAAGACGGATGGGAAAATGTGAGACTGTGACTGAGCACATTTCTGTGCAGTCCAGGGACTGTTTGGGCACCATTTCCAGGGAGAGTACAGCTGGAACAGAATTCTGCAGCACACACTTTGGGGGAAAGCATGTGGAACATAACCGAGGGCTAACACAGGGGATGTGTGGCGTGCCGTGCTGGCCCTGTATATGAGCAGGCCTCCGTGGCTATGGATAGCAGTGGTGTCAAACAACCTGGGTTTGAATCTTGGTACATCATTTACCAGCTAAGGGATGTTGGGTGAATCATTCAATTTCTCCCTGCCCCAGACATTTAAAAAAGATGTGCCCCATTTGCTTCATCATTCTCTGTATCTATATATACATCTCTTTCTTCTGGTCCATTTGAGAGTAGGTTGGGGCGTAATGCTCCTTCGTTCTACCGCTCAGGATGTTTCCTAAGAACAAGGGCATTCCCTTACATAACCACAGTTCAATGATCAAATTCAGGACATTTAACATTGATACAACAGTTTTATCTAGTCCACAGCTCATATCCCAATTTTGCCAATTGTCTCAGTAACAACCTTTATATAAAAAAAGATCCCGTCGGTCCAGGACCATCTACTGCATTTATCTGTCAACTGTCTCCTTATAGCTGGGACAGACCCCTGGCCTTTGTCTTTCAAGCACTGACGTTTTTGAAGTGGACTGGCCAACTTAACCTTTCTTTTTAAAGAAAAGATAATAATAGTCCCCATTTCTGAGGGCGGTGTGAGGAGAAATGAGGTAATGCCTGGACCGCTCTGAAACTGAGGACCTGGAACACAGATAAATGTGAGTCATTAGTTTTTGTTAGTAGTAGTAAATACACAGTTGTAGTAGTAAACACAAAAAAAGTGGAGAGACAGAACAGTCCAGGCCAATCCTGGTGACAGGGAAATGAAGGGTGCGTGGGAATGTGGAGGGCCCGACGCTGCTAGGGGAGCCAGGGAAGACCCTGGAGGGGCACGGCCATGAATGAGCAGGAGGTACCAGAAGGAAGTGGGGGCTCTCCAGGCACAGGGCCAGCTTATGCATATGCCCAGATGGCATTCAGTACCTCACGTATCAGTGGATCAGTGTTGCCATGTGACTGCTGGGGTGTGGCTAGAGATGGGAATGATGAAGCGACTGCAAGTTGATGAACTTCACTCCCTATCCGACCAGACCTCTGGCCCTGACCCTGGTGGCTCTCAGTGGTCACCAAGCATTCTATGGTCAGCTCAGCAGGGATCAAAGACTGAGCCTTGGTCTCTGCCAAGTGAGCAGCCATCTGCTGCACCTGTTCCTATTCTCCATCTGATGGCCGTTCCTCTCCCACCCCCACCTGACCACCTTCCTTAACTAAGCTCTTAGGAAATGTGTTCACACTGCTGACTTGCCTTTCTCCCAGCATTCTGTCTCCTGTGCTCCAGCCACTACTGTCAGACCACCAACACAGCACTTTCTGATCAAACCTGCACTCTGACCTCTTGCCAACAGAACTTCCCCTCGTGATTGTCCTCCAAGTTTTCTAATGTTGAGAATTCACCAGAGGGCTGCTCAGCCACCTCCTACTATACCCTCAGGTGCGTTAGCAGGCTGTCCTCTTCCCACCTTTCCCCACTTCTGATAGACGGTAGGGCAGAGAGGAGGGGCACAGAAGGAAGATGGGGTTACCTCTGTAGAGCGTTGCCTACATGAGGGCAAACAGCGTAGGGTCTAAGTGCAAAAAACAAAGTAACCCCCTGGGCTTCCTCAACCTTTTAGAATTCCTTCAGTATTAGAGCCAGTCTCCTAGGTTGTTACATAATACTGGATGCTCAATTAATAATCGGAGAAGGAACCAAACACCTAAACACCTAAAAATAACCAGTCACCAAAAATGACCTTGTCTTCCCATTTCCCATTTGTCAGGAATCTATATGAGGCTGTAAAAGTAGCTCAGTGGAGGGTATAGGAGGCTGAGCTTGGCCGACTTCTAGCCAAGTTCTTACTGCCAAAGTGAGATGGAGCCCTGGCCAATCCGGGCTCCTACTCACACCCAACCCAAGCTCAGTGATTAAAAAATAGTCTTGTTTACTACTTAAAAAGACGTCAGTAGAAATACCCATCTAATTTCAGAAGCCTCACCACACACTTACATCCTACTTATATTCACAGACTCCAGCACAAACATTCCTGAATTTTGAAATATGCAGTTTTCCTGATGAAACAAATGTACTGTGCACTTTTAGAAATATTCTTATGTACAAGCTTTAAATTACCGGATTCTGCATTCACACCTAATGAGATTACGGACATTTTAGGACTAATAGCAGTGCTGAGTTTGAAAAAGGCAGCAGTAGGACATTATGAAAAATTCAGATCTGCTCCCTAAATGTGAATAAAATAGATGTTCAACTGACAAAGTGTCCTTTATGGCTCTATTTTTGCTCCTTTTGCATTTCCCCTGCTCAGTCGTCAGTAAATTTCTCTTTACCATATTAAACTTTTATACAGACAAATCTCCATCAGTGCTGCAGGCACTGATTTCGATTTTCAAAATTGAATTTTGGGTGGTGACAGCAACTGGTACATAGGCCCCTATTCTAGTCACACAAAGGGATGCATAAGCACTTTTGGGAAAGGGTGTTGTAAATTGCTTGGCTAATTAAGGTAGAGTTGGATTCAGTCCAGGAGGATCTATGAAAAAAGGTTTTCATGACTTGGTAATGAACTTCTGAAATGAGTTCTTTCCATTATGGGAGCCTATTCCCTTCAATTCAATTGCCAATCTATTTCTTGAGCGCCTACTATGCAGAATGCTCTGCTTATGGGGCTAAGATCAGGTGCCAAGAGACATAAACACTCAGCCTTAGCCCTAAAGAGGTTGGCAATGAAGCTAAGGGGACAGATATGGACATAATTAAAATTCAAACATGGCCCAGAGCAGCATGTAACTGAGTGTCAGAGTTTCAGGAGACCAGAGGTGGGAGCTGGCCACCAGGCCTAGCTAATGGGGCAGGTGGGGTGGGGAAGGGCTTGAGTTTCACTGAAGTTGCACTTCATAGTGACGGAGAGCCTGAATCCCTCACTCTGAGGACTGCAGACTTCAGAGCTGGACCTGGGCATAGGTGGAATGGGGATCAGAGGAGTGACTGGTGGGAGGCATGAAAAAGCAGGGGGACATGATGTTGCAGGCAGGCAGGCAGGGTCTTAAGCTGAGCTAAGGAGTGCTTCAAGGGCTGGGGAGCCAAAAATTTTTGACAAGTTCTGTGTGTTTTGGCTTTTGGCTGCACCCCCGTCCACAATGTACCGAATTCTCAAAGGATTAGAGCCACTTACATTATGGCCAACTTGGGAGGCAATGAGAAGACATCCCCACTGTGATTGGGTCACATGCTGGGGTGAGGTGAGAGGTGAAACACAGGGTGGAGCCAAGGATCAGAGGACAGTGTGGGCCTCAAAGGCTCTGCCTGCCATTTGCCCAGGAGGCAACAGGCAGACCCAGTGATCTTTGAGTCAAGTAGAGGCCTACTGAAAGTGGCTGACAATTTTCCTTCCAGGAGGAGCACCTTTATCTTTAAACATGCATAGAAAAATGCTATCCCTTGGTCTCAACTACCCTAACTCAGTCTAGGTCTATTGGGAACTGGGAGAAGAAAAGAGAGAGAGATGCCTGCATTCCTTCTCTGAGATGACTCTCCTCACAACTCCTGTTCTGCAGGAGGTTCAATATTGTAACTAAAAACAGCATCATCTGCCCTTTGGCCATTCCTCAGAAACTTGACTTCGGGGGCCCACACAAGGGTGGTGATGCTGAGAGGTGCCAGCACTGCCAGGCGGTTGTGGGGCTGGCTCCTCGTCACACTGAAGAAAGCCAAAGAGCAGGCTTAAACTGGAGACTGAGAAGACGGAATTACATAAATCTTTCAGTTTTCCTCTGAGGAGTTGGAAATATCACTTACAATACTGCAAACCCAAGCGAGACCATGTTCAACTCCTTTCCAATGGGGTCAATAATTTTCAACCTGAATATGATACACAAATTCACTGGCAGGTGAGGCCTTTCCTGGGCAGCTGCCTTTCCAGGCTGTTTTTCAGAGCCAGGCCCCGTACAGATAAGGGGGTGCTGCTGTGCAGTCAGGGATCTTTTAAGAAGCTGCTTGTGCACCTCATGAACTCGTTAGAAGGATTTGCTCCTTTCCCTGCACTTAATTCAACAATTACAGTTGTTTTGCCACCTTCCCCCATGTTGTGATTCTTTTATTAAGCTCTTGGTGCTGCAGGGAACACATGTGCTCTTAAGAAAACCACATTTAAGGGGAGCGAAACCCATAAACATTAGCTTTAAAATACCACACAGTAAGGTAGAGGGTGTAAGAGGTGTTAAGTGTGTTCCTCCTTCCCACGATCACCTCCCTCTTGGTGGGCTTAGTGTAGACAGGGAGACTCCCCAAAGGGCAATCTGAGGTGGACTAAATGGAGGCAGTGGTTTTATACTCTGGTTTTAGGTGTGAATGATTAATTTGCTTCCTAGTGAATCTGACTCTTCTGTATTGGTGTCCCAAGGACCATCTTTCTTCCCATCTGTCCTGGGGGGAAGTGGCTGGGTAGGGAATCAGGTGGGTGAACAGGAAGATTGTTTAATTCTTTGCCCAAACTCTCTGTGGTTCAAAAAGGCTTGAACAGGGAATGAGGAGAAGGGTGTGGCTTGATGTTTGCGGAACAAGAGGCCTTTCTAACATGAAGAAATAACTCAGGAGGAAAGGCAAAATCTCAGGGCCAGGCTGCTGGATCTGTTTCTTATATGTCTTGTCTTGTCACTTACTCCCAAGGAACCCTGAGTAAACTGTCTCCTTTTTCCGATTTTGTTTCCTCATCTGTAAAATGGGAATAGTGATGGTTACCTCATTCTGCTGCACTGAGAAGTGAGAAAATGCATGCAAACCCATGTCATGCACGTGTTCAGTGTTATTGTTAAGATGAAGGACACTGAGAGGCCAAGAGGCTAGCCTGCCTCTCTCCTGTTCAGCAACAAAGAGGCAGTGGAGCCCAGCTGCCTCTCCCTCCAGCCCTTTCTTTCTGGCAGCTGGCATAACTAAGGAGCAGCCCCACACCAATCAGCCAGCTGGGTTTAATGCCCACTGCTGGCTGCCAGCTTAATAAAAGGTCTACCAGAACCACCTTTCCTTCTCAAGGTTATAAATGGTCCGGGGGTGTCAGTGGGAGTGACTCACGGTGCTGCTCTCATTCCAGCACGGGGCTGCTCCCTCCAAAAATTATCACAAAGATTTACTAAGCCCAGGAGCATTCTCAGGTGACATCAGGATGAGGTACCATGACAGTGGTCCTGAGTAATGTGCCTGCTGCCATCATGATGTACTGGTTCATTCTACCAGGGAAGCATTCATCAGCTGCTCCAGAAATCAACCAAGCCATGACTTGCATCAATAGACATGACTCAAATCTGTGTGGGCCTGACTGGCACTCTCTCTCTAGGAGATGACAAAGGATGACAATTCTAAAAGGGAAAGCTCTACCCTCCTTTTCTGGCTCCTCTTATTCTAAGTCAATTAGGTGAATGTCATACTCAAAGATCTAGGCTCTGTTGGCCTCTCTGCTGGCTGGTCTCCCCACCTGAATTTCATTAGCATAACTCCATGTCTTCCCAACTGAAAGGTCTTTGGTGACAAGGACCAGGTTATATCCCTCTTTTGTAGTTCCTGCAGGTCCCATACAGTCAGCTGTCGATTCTCACCACTCAGGATACAGAAACATTCCCTCATTCTTCACTACTTCTCTCCATCCGGTTCTGCTACATCTGCAACTATATGCAAATGACTTTTTTCAAGAGCCATAACCAATCATTTATTTATCTATTCATTCAGACATTTACTGACTGTCTTTTATGTGCCAAGGACTATGCTAGACACTGGGGGTAGACAGATAAAAATGGCACCATCTTTATTCTCAGGAAGCCCACACTAAAAATATGTAGAGGGCAGAGCTCTAGAAAGTCTATGGGGTTTGCAGAGTTGGGACTGATATGATTCTTGCATTCAAGACCTTTTTGCTTTGGGCCCATGAAGAGCACTGCAAAAGGTGTGAGAGCCCTTAGTGTAGTCAACCCTCCTCTCACCCCTACGTCCTCCCTGGCCCAAGAATCCCTAGTAGACAATCCATCCATGCCCTCATCCAATCTGCTATCTAGTTTCAATGATGCCATTGGGTATGTTCTTATTCCATTAGGTAAGCTGGCTTGGTTCTGTGTTATCCTAAGTTACAAAAACACATGTTCCTGCTTTGACAGGTTGTGGCCAAGTTTTACAAGTCATTTCTTCAGGCTGGGTGTGTATCTATCACATTTCATATCCCTGACCTCTTGCCTGAAACCTAGGCTCAAATACCCCACTGCCTACTTGACATTTCCACTTGGAAGTAAGTCTACTTGGCATCTCAAGTTTAACATGTCTAACACCAAACTCAAATTGTTTTTCCAATACCCCATCTGTTCCTCATCTAGTCTTTCCCATCTCAGTAAATGATACCACCTTCCATCCAGTTGTTCAGGCCAAAAAAGTCTAGGCGTTATCCATGGTTCCTCTCTTTCACTTTACCTCACATCTAAGACATCAGCAAGTCCACTGGCACAGCCTTCACATTGCAACCCAAATCCAACCACTTCCATCTCCCATGCTGCCACCCTCATCAAAGCTGCCACTCCTTCTTGCCTGCGCTGCCAGAGTAGCCTTTTCTCCAGTCTCGTTTCTATTCTTGCCCCTATAATCCACTGACCACATACAACCAGCGATGTTTTAAAAAAAGTAAATTCAGTCACATCAGTGCCCTGACTAAACCTCCCCAATAGCTTCTCATTGGCCATATGATAAACTCTACTAACCAGAGCCTGTAAGACCCTACTGTGCCTGGCTCCTGTCCTTTGACCTCAACTCTTAGCAAACTCCATCTCACTACCCTTCAGCAATACTGCTTTTCTTTCTTTTCTCTAACATGCCAATCTTTCCTGTCTCAGGGCCTTTGCCCTGCCTGGAATGAATGTCCTTCCCACCAAGCATACATTGTTGGCTCACCTTCCTGTATGTCTCCTCTATGTGTCACCTCCTAAGGCCTTATCTGATTATTATAACTAATATTACTAATTTATCATGCTACTCCAGATAAGTACCATACTGAATATAAAATAGACTATCTTACATATGTCTACTTGCTTATTGTGTCCTGAACTAGAATGGAAACTTAAACTTCACATGGCAGGACCATCTGTCTATTCATTGCCTCCTCAGCACCAAGCACAGAATCTAGCACATGTGGGTGCTCAATAAATACGTGGTGTATGAATGAAAAGAATCCCAGAGCTGCTGTGGCACCGAACTGGAGAAAAGCAACAACACAGTCTACACTCACACACAAGGGCATGGGTAGAGGACCCAAACCTGCCACACGGTCTACAGGGGCCTAGAAAGCACAAAAAGGCTTAGCAGGGACCTTGCAGAGGTTCGTGGGGATCAGCTCAATCAGTGCACACTGCGTCGGGGGTGCAACAAGCCTGAGACTATCACAAACTACGACTGGTGCCACGTGTCTCAACCATGGCTGCATCTACAGAGGTTTTAAAAATACTGAGGCCAAGGCCCTACTCCCGGAGATCCTGATTCAGTAAAGGCCGAATGGTCCTGGGTATCTAGATTTTTTAAAAGCTTCTTTAGCAATTTCAAGGTGCAGCCAGGTGAGAGCGTTGAGTAGAAGGCTGAGTCGTCACTCTACAGATCCCGGGAGGGGAAAGGGGGTACTCGCGCACGTGCGGCCGGGAGGGTGGAATCGGTGCGCACGCGCGCCCTCCACTGCTAGCCGGCTAGTTGGCCCCACCCTGCCTCGTCCTTTCCTCCCCTCGCGCCGACCGCCTCCCCGCCGCAGGCGGACCCCACAGTCCGGTTACCTGGGTGTTCTCTCCCTCCCGAAAGGCCTGTGCTACCCGTTGCCGCAGGTAAGCGCCCAAGTCCCGGCCCCGTTTGGTCTCGTCCACTGGCCATTCCTCACAGAGCTTAAGAAAACGCCGGTAGCGGCTGGCCGCCATTTTGGGCCCCGCTTGCCCCCGCCCCTGAGGGAGGAGTTGGCGCGGAAAGATGGCGCTTGCGCACTAAAGTTCGCAGGCTTCCGGAGGAGGTGGGGGCGGCGGTAAGGAGCGAGCATGAGCTGGCCCCCGGGCGCTCCGCCGCTCGCCGGGTGGGGGCGCTGCTCGCTTGTCTCTGAGAACCGAGTTAATTCAGTCTTCGGTCTTCTGGACCCCGCCCAGCTTCCAGGGGCAAGTCACAAGTAGAGTACCCGAGGGACAGCTTTGCTTCTTTTTCAATGACTGCACTAGCTGCAAAGTAAAAAACCTTCCTCCGAGACTTCTGCTAATTTGCATAAACGAATACATTTGCATGTAAATACATGTCGTTATTCGATGAAGTTGTGTTTGAATTTAATCACGTAGCACGCACACGTTGTGGCGCCCCTCTCCCCAGAGCCCGGGTACCTGCCACTACCACTTGGTACTCTGCCACAGTTCCTTCTTTAGTGCTCCTCAGCTCTGGTCCCTTTCTCGCCAGCTCCTCCTAGTATCCCTTCTGAGTGCCTCCTCCACAGGCCGCGCACTTTTCCCTGGCAGGCGCAGTTTTCTAGCTTCAGCAATGTCAGGAGGGTTCATTCAGCCTGGAAAACTTGTTTCACCAAGCCTTCTCTTACACATCTCCAGCTGCCTCATAATGTGGAATGTCGTGATTTCTCTTTTCAAAACATAACCCCACCTTACAAATTTTTCTTAAGGAAGGCTCAGCTCCCTTCTGTGCCTGCACTTAGCCAGGACCATCCCGTGCTTACAACCCTTGGCTTCCCCCACCCCACCTTTGTAACTGAATCTAGGAGACTCCCGCCTTCATGAAGTAGACTGCTGGGGAGTAAACAGCCAAAACACAAAGTTCAAAGTGACAGGGGCTTTAGTTGAAGTGTTAGAGAATGTTAGGGAATTTGGAGAAAGAAATATTCCACGGAGCTGGCTGTTTAGGGGAGTAGGAGGAGAAAGATCAGTGATGACTTCTGAAGGAGACAGCACTTGGAGGATGGTTGGAGGATGATCAGGGTTTGCATAAGTGGAAATGGAGGGACGTTGAGCAGAAGAATCAGGCCTGGACAGGAATGGGAGAGAGAGGAGGAGGGAGGAGTTTAATTTGAGGAGAAATCCATCAATGGGTGGTTTTAACAGGGACTGAAGGCCTTAAGAGTGAAGACCTACAGAATGAGAACCTGTGGGGGGACCCGAAGGTGTGGGATGCTCACTTGAGGTGAGTTCAGCGGGTGCCTGCCTGAGGTAAGGAGGGCTTGGGGGGAGTGGAAAATTAGGCGCTCCAGGGCCCGGCTACCATGTTGCCAGCCAGTAATACTTTCCTGCTCCATCCTTACCATCAGCCGTATTTATAGCCACAGACTTTGATTTGTATTGATGTATATACACTAACATACACAAATCTTAGTCTACAACTTGATGAATTTTGACATGTGTATATAGTCATGTAGCTATCGCCCAGGTCAATATCAAATATTCTCACTAATTTTTTGCCCCTTTCACCTATTTCATCCATTCCTTCCAGCCCTCTCCCCTATGACAACCAATGGCATATTCTTTGTGTCTGTGAGTCTATTTCTGTTTTGTTTTTCAGATTCCACATATAAGTGAAATCATATGGTATTTGTTTTCCTCTATCTGACTTATTTCACTCAACATTTTCCCCTCTAGGTCCATCTGCGTTATTGCAAATGGCAAGATTATATTCTTTTTTATAGCCGAGTAATATTCCATTGCTTACATATACCACATCTTCTTTATCCATTCATCTACTCATGGACATTTAGGTTGCTTCCAAAATTTGGTTATTGTAAATAATATGGCAGTAAACATAGGGGTGCATATATCTTTTCAAATCAGGGATTTTGTTTTCTTTAAGTAGATTTCTAGAAGTAGAATTGCTGGGTTATATAGTTTTGATGGCTATTGTGAGGTTAAAGGGCAAGGATTATATCCATTTACTATTAAGCTCTAGGCATCTAGAGCTATGCTAGGTGCCCAGAGGCCTCATTATTCTGCCTGAGGCCCCACCACAGCGGTGGCTTTGAACAGCATCTGGCTGGCCAGCAATGTCCTGGGAGGCAGGGACTGAGGTCCCTCTGCCTTTGGTGAGAGGAAGAGTAATATTAGGTGGCAGTGAATGATTTTCACCCCACTTGAAGTACAAGTACAATGAGAGGTTGAGAAGAACAACTGGATGCCAGGGGAACCCCATGCCCCTTCTAAGTCTCTCCCTTCCCCAGCATAGCATCTTCTGAGTCAAGTTTTGGTAGTCCTTGGTTCAGACTATTCTATCTACCTCTCTTTCCCCAGATGAAAGTTTATTTGGGTTGGTGGTTCAGTAGTGAGATTTTGGAATCTGTCAGACCTGGTTTGGAATGTGGGCTTCTCGTTCGTTCATTCTTTCTTCCATCCATCCACCCATCCACCCATCCATCCATCCATCCATCCATCCATCCATCCATCCATCCATCCATCCATCCATCCATCCTTCCATCCGTCTAGGACTATCTATATGATTTGTGGGGCCCAGAACAAAATGAATATGTGAAGCTCTTTGTTTTCAAGGAACTTCAAGACAGTAATGGCAGAGTAGTAAACCAAGTGTGAGGCCATTTGCAATGCAGAGCTCTTTGTGACTGCATAGATGACACACCTGTGCACCAGCCCTGAGCTTCCCCCATGTGGGAGACAGGACAAATGAGGGCCCTGATCCTGTGGGCTCTCACATGCAACGGGGGGAGACAGACAACAACCAAGAAAACATGATAACAATAATAATAGCGCTTGTATTGAATGGTATTAAATACTGTGTTAACAAGCATAGTATTAAGTCACTTAATAAATACTGTGTTAACAAGCATAGTATTAAGTCACTTAATAAATGAACAAGATAATTTCAAATGTGATAAGTGGCAGAAAGAAATCAAGTCAGGGTGCACCTGATGTCCAGTGATTGGGGCAGGGGTGGGATTTGAGAGAGACCTAAGTCACATGAGGGGCAAGAGCAACTTTGCAGACAGGCAGCAAAGGCCAAGGCTTTCAGAGCAACCAACTTTCGGTGGGTATTTAATCACTCTGAGCTTCAGTTCTCCACTTTATATGGGAATAATAGTAACAGATTAACACTTACTTTGAGTATTTATTCTGGGCCAGGCCCTGTTCTAAATGTCTTATACATATTAACTTAGTCCTCACAGTGGCTTTCAGAGATAAGTACCATTATTAGACCCATTTTACAGAGATGGAAACCAAGGCACAGGGTGATAAGGACATACCAAGGTCACCAGCTAGTAAGTGGCAGAGCCTGGACTTGAGCCCTCATTGACTGGCCCCAGAGTGATGGATGCCCTTACCCCCACCCCACCCCAGTCAGGACACCCCTTTAGGCCTCCTTGTGGCATTGTTGTGAACTGTGAGCATGGTGGGTTTCTGTGCGCATTCTAGTTTCCCGAGGGGTTCCAGGGTTTTACCTGCCCCTCCCTCACCCCTCCAGGTTGGTGGTTGGAGCCAGAGTCTGGGCTCACTGGCTTGTCAGTCACCCAGTGCCATTCTGAGCACATTAATAGACACTGCCTGGAATGTGGCTAGCTGCGCCAGCCCCTCAGGGAGTTGATGACCATTTTAACACCCACCTGCTGCCTGTCACTCATTTCTCACTGAATGCAGCCTCCCCTGGCTCCTGGAAAACCCCCACCAGGGCAACCTCCCATCTATTTAGAATGGGTATTTGGGCTTTATGGAGCCTGATAGCTCTTTATGGAAACAGGCACCACTGGAGAGGGGAGGGAGGGAGTGCTGCAGGTTATAATGATCCCAGTAATTGAGACACCAAATTGCACATTTAAATCGCTTGAAAGTAAAAATATCATTTTGTAATGCTGGTGTTAATAATGTAAACATTAAAAACGAATTAAATACTTAGTTGTATTGTGGGGCACAATTGCCTGATTTTTCTTCTTTCAGCTTACTCAACTGGTGGAAATGATTGGCTAATACCAGATATGTTACCATAAAAAGTGGGTCTGGACTTGTATGGGAGCAGTTAGTCATTTAATGCCTGCAGATAAAGGTAAGCCAGCTTACACTGTCAGTAGATTGCTGCCTTTTCTGGAGGTGACTTTTTTTCAAAACATGTCTGTGTGCTGGGGGGAGCCTCAGTGGGGTCCTAAAGTGCAGCCTAATATATCCAAAGCCCCTCAGCTCTGTTGAGACATCTTGTCATCTGCCCCAGGGATCTGCCTCCCTCCCTTAACTCCTCTCTGGTCACTATCACCTGAGAGAGGTCTTCCCTGGCCCCACTTTAAGTAATAGCCATATTTTGTCTCACAGCACTGGCCACTATTTGACAGCAGGCCCTGGTGTACGGTAGTCTCCCACTAAACGAATATGAAGAGAACAGAACAACCGATGGTAGAAACCCAGGTTTCCTGTCCCTCCTGTCCCCACCCCACCCGTCCCTGTAAGATACTCATCTTTAGAGGTCTGAGGGGGAAAGTAGAAGGGCAGATCAGGAGCAGGTGGATTTCTGGATTTTGTTCTTAGATTAGCTCCTAAACTTCTGGTCCATTTCAGGGCAGCTAATGACAGAACAGAGAAGTTCTGAGCAATGCATAATGAGAAGGAACCAGTCTGGCTGCAAGTCAGCCCGCCTGGCTGGAGGTCAACTTGGTTTTGTCCCAGAGCTGCTCTCTCCTCCCCGCCACTAATTCTTGGTGCCCACGCTTTTCTATTAGTTCTTTCTCTCATCTTCTGTTTTATGTTTTTGGCCATAGAGAATGCAGATTTTAAAACAAAAGTCAGAAGTTTAGGTCATTTTGAAGAGCTGCTGATGAGTGGTCTTACCTTGCTATTTGTTTTATTAGACTGCTTCCTGCCCTTTGCAGCATGGTTTAGAAGGCTCCACGCAGCTGGAAAGAGTGATGGGGCTGCCAGGGTGCTGCCCAGAGGCCCAAGGCTTCCTGATGACATTGCATCCTAGAAAAGCTGTAATAACATTCTGCTTTTTAGCCTCCTCTTCCATCACACAGGGGACACCAGAGGGACAGAGGTGGGATTGGGTGACTATCTCCCAGGTTGCCCTTGTCCACTTACCCTGCCCTGAGTTGGGGGTCTGGAGCAGGTTGCTCTTCCACATGACTTATCTTAAGGACCAAGTTAGAGTTCCTGTGGGATAGATGCGAAAACTGAGGTAGGGAAGATGCTAAGCCAATCTCCCAGCACTCTGGGCACACTCACTGTGTGAGGACATGGCTAGGGAAGGATCTGGATCAGAAGCCACAGCTCTGGCACTGTCAGGCCCCTGCTGTCCCCTCATGCTCTCTACTTCTTCTTTTTGTCTCCATTTCTCCCTCCTTAAGTAGGGGATCAATTTGACATGATGATTATGGAGAAAGAGGTTATGGTAGAGACTGGCTAGGTTCTCATCAAACCCATTTCCTCTTTCTTGGCACACAATTAAACTGCATCTTAGGCCCCTGGCAACTGGGTAGGGCCACATGACTGGTTCTTGCTCATGGAATGTGAGTATGCCTTCCCCATGCTGTCTAACTTTTGGGCTTTGTGGTTGAAGATGGTGTCACAGGATGTAAGGAGCTTGGGTCCCTGGATGACTGTGTGGAGCAGAGGCTCTCTGCTGACCAAATTGGATTGTACTCATATTTGGGGATTGTTTATTATAATAGTTAGCTTACTCTGACTAATACCTGTATGTTTCTCAGTTCAAAAAAGAAGAGTAAGGGAGTCCAGCCAGAAGGCTCTTACAAGGTTCTAGGCAAAGGGAGCTGTGGAGGTGAAAGTTCAGAGGTCCTTTCTAGTTCTCATGTTCTTAGATTTCTCCCATTCCATGTTATTCTCTTGCGGTGCCCCTGTACATCACCCACTGTGGCCCACAGACTGCTGGCTGTTCCCTGAGCAGAAGGCTTGATTCTCCATTTCCATGCTTATCGATCTTTTTCCTGCAACACCTGCTCTTCTTTATCACCTTTCAGACTTGCTTCCCTTTCAAGGCACAGCTGAAACACCAGTGCTGTGACACCCCCACGGCAGTGAGCCCTCACTGCCTCTGCACTCCTGGTTAGCATCTGCACAGCTGAGCCAATGGCTCCTGTTCCCTGTTAAAGTGCCTGTGATATTTTCTTACGAGGGTCTTCACTCTTTCACCAAATCAGAAGGTTCTTCAGGATAATGTCATGACCCTCACACTTCCCTTCTCTTTTGTACAGGCTGCAGCACTGTGCTGTGTGGACCAGACACTCAGAAAGTGTTTGTTGGATGGATGAATGGAAGGAAGGACAGTTTAATAAAGTCACAAACAAATGAAAGCTACTTGGCCAGGTTTTCAAATGTCCCCACCATCTGGGCTCACTCCACTCTCTGCTCTTTAGTTCTACTACTCCAAACCACAAAATCCCCATTGTGAATGGGCTGGTCTGTCCACAGGCTCATGAGCATGCTGGGCTTTTCCTTCACATCACGCCCCACCCTCCCACCAATCCCTCAGCCCCTTCCCCGCTCTTGCCACCCTTCAAGGTCTAGATGAAGTCTCACCTCCAGCAGTTTCTGTGACAACTCTGCTGTCAGAGAACCTCTTCAACCTCATAGGCTTGATCACCTGACCCACACAGGTTAACCCTCTGTGTCATCGGGTACTATCTGGTGTGGTTTGTTCATGTGTTTTCTTGCCCCTGCAATTAGAATCTAAGCTCCCAAAAGTTGGATCTTCTACAATACTTAGCAAAGAGGTCAGGGGCCAATAGCTGTTCAGTGCAGGAGTACACCTGCTGATTGCTGGATATCTAGAACTCCCACATCGCTTTTCCATTTTCAAGTAAACTCGGCTTGGAAATCAAATACACACACACACTTCCTCTTTCCACACCTTTCTGTTCTCCCTGTGCCGAGATTTGCAGTAACTGGGTGGACTCCTTCAGCTGGGTTGCTGACTCTGCAAAGCTTGTGCAAACTGGCAGGTGACAGTGCTCCCTCTGAGTCCAGCATTCCAATAAGAATGGTCTGAATCCAGTAGCCAGCTCTGTCCCTTGCAACAGACTGTACCTTTGCAGGCGTCATCTTCAAGGGTAGATGGGAGTTCTGGTAAGGCCTCAAACAATTTGTAGAGGAGGAGAAGGCCTCGTGAGGGTGCCAGTATAAAGGAGTAGCAGAGAGGGGCACCACATGGGCAGGAATCAGGAGCTAGCCTACGGAGAGTGGGTGCAACACAGTTAGCGATGCAGGTAGCCAGCCCTAAAATACTTAGATTCTAGTTGAGCATTCCCACCTCATCCTCAGGCAGGTCCTGCCATACCGAGGGCTGAGCATGGGGCCAGGAATCAGAAGCTTAGTCGGGGAGCTTACTTGGTGCATGTGTTACCAGGTTCTCAAACAAGGAAGTGGCCCAGGAAAGGGAATATTTAGGGCTTCATTTTGTCGTTAGCAAATATTTAGTTTTCAGCTGACTTCCTTTTGCTGCCCAGCCCGCTTGGACTCCATTCTCCCACCATGGGCATGGAGCGTGCAAATTAATCACATCATTACCTTAGCCAAACATAATTATGGAAGTTGACTTGCTTTGAAATCCATATGATGTATCCTCAAATTAAACAAAAGTTTTGTGTGTGGGCCATCCTTTCCTTCTATTAGTGTGAATTTTAGAAAGTTGATGGTAATTAGCCATGAGAATACAAAAAATATTTTATTTTGCACTGTATAAAATTCAAATGAAAAGACCACTTCTCAGGTCTGGTGCCTGCCTTGTAGATACATGCAAATAATTTATTAGCCACTATTTTCCACCCGGGTTCCCCAAAGGATTGCAGGAAATCAGTGAACTGTTCTTGCTGTATACTCTAGTCACCCATAAATTGGAACTGCTGTACAGTATGATGATCAGAATAAACAAACAGAAAGGGTAATAAGGCATACCAAATAATCACTGGTGACCTCAGCAATTTTATTAACAAATTTATTCCCCTAATTAGGTAACGGATCTCAGTGCTTGACTCAAGGGCATTGTAATAGGTTTCCACACTGCAGAAGAAGGAATTAATTAATATTTGCTCTTTGTTCCGTATTTACACTTGTCCCCCAGTCTTGTAAACATTGTGCCTGGTTTCCTCCATCCTCCAGGCTTCTGTCTTCTGCTCCCCACCCCACCCCCAAAATAAATAAATAGAAGGTGGAAAGTTTAACATCAGTGGTTCCTCCTTATGCACAGTCCACACCCACTGGAAGCTGCATTTCAGGGTTGGAGGCATTTTGAGGTGAGAATCTGGCAGGATCCTCACTTCCAGTTGGTACTTGGGAATCTGGAAAGAGACCCTTCTTTCTGCAGGCAAAAGTGGAGAACCTGGGGGTCTCAGTTTGCCCTGCTGTGTCAGGCTTGTCCTTGTCTATGCAGAACCTGGGTACAAAGCCGGTGAGATGGGCAGATCTGCCCTGCTTCATCCTGTCCCAACTAGAATGCCTCTTGGGAAGGGAAGAGACATTCATTAGCTCTGTCCGCCCAGAGGCGGGCAGCCCATGTGAGCAAAAACCATAAACTCATGAACTCTCTCCAAGTCTTCTTCAAGTAAAGTCTTTTGCCTCATAGTATGCAAGGACTGCAGCATGAAAAGAAAAAAGCATCCTTAAATACCTTTACTCCAGGCAAATATTACAGAATATCGCTCTAATGCTGGCCTCTAACTCATACTGCACCCCTCCAGTGTACTCCAAAATGGTGTCATTTCTCCCTGACTGTCCATCCTGCAATGGCCAGCATTAGCATGAGAAGCCAGGATATATGGATGTATGGAAAGCACCTCCAGAGCTGGTTTCCTTGGCAGCTGTTAATAGAGTCTGCCATGTCTAGAGGTGGTTTTTGAACATAGATACAATTATTACAAAGACATCTAAAAGGTAGATAAACTACCCTAGCTACCAGGAGGTCCCTTTTGAGATCTGTACTCTGGAAAAATCCAGATGGACCCCAGAAGTCTCATGCTCCCTCTTGAATATCCTGCAGGATCTGGATGAGGTTTTCCAGGCCTAAGATATAGCCCAGATCTGGTCCATCATAGGTGGTATGCTCAT